ATAACAAAAATAAAAATAATCCAAAAACTAAAAAATGGGAGACAAAAATTAAGAAGTGACTGTTTGAACGGGGGTTTGAGGGTGGAGAAACGGAGGGTCTCGCATTGCAGTGAGGTGCAGACGTAGCTCAACCAGGTTGTAGGTTTTATAGCGTGAATATGTTAGTAATTTATTATATTATGAACAGGGCCGAATTAAGTCAGTCATGTAAAAGCCATTAGGCAAAACAAGTTGTGCGATCTATAAGCAACTCGGGCTCATAAACAGTGGTTGGGAGTAGTGGTGCTGGGTTTGGCGGTCCACATCCCCGTCATTTTATTTTATTGAGTGAATATACGCAAAGTAATTTTTACTAACATTTATACTATCGTAAAGGTAAGCATGATACTATTCTGCTACCGTTACAAATTTTTAAACAATTTAAAAAAAATTGTAACGGTAGCAGACGAAAACATGTATTGAAGTTTGACCAACGGAATTTTTATTTCCTAAGTCGAAAAATGTTGTCATTTAATTTCCATTCCATTTCATTTTAATTGAAAACTCCGTTTTGTTCATTTTTATTATACAAACAAGCCTTAAACTGCTTTAAATTAAATTAAACATAACGTTGATTTTATAAAAGTTAAGAGTTAAAGTCTATATACGTCCCACTGCTGGGCACAGGTCTCCTCTCATTTCTGAGAGGGTTTTAGGGCAAGGAAAAGTCGCCGCGCTGCGCTGCCCCAATGCTGCTGACGAACTTCACATATCATGCAGGTTTCCTCACGATTTTTTCCTTCGCTACCGAGTACATGGTAAATCAGGGCTTAAAATTACTATTAACACTTTAATTGCTAGCGGCGGGGGATCGAAAATTGGGGGAAAAAAAGTGGCAGCCTCGTACCGTACCGGTAGGCGAAGTGTAGGGCGATCCCCCACTAAACAGAGTGACGACCTGTAAGACATGCAGGAAATCGATGGATGCAGGTGGCTCAGGACCATGCTTTGTGGCATTACTTGAAAGATGCCTATGTTCAGCAGTAGACTTGTGAAGGGCTGTAATGATGATGATGATGATGGGGATCGAACCTGGGTTGCTAGCATACTGTGAAATTTACAACGAGCATTAGCTCCTGAACTACCACGGCTCTTTAATTTTATAGATACATTTATTTTAACTAACATTGAAATATTTCAGGGAAATTGTGTAATGGAGTATAACGATAAGTCTAAATTTGGAACACAATATCCAACGGCATCTTAGATGAGATTCAAGTATTAAATTAGCATCATAGGATGAAGTTAATTGAGGGTACTCGAGGATGTTTTTTCAACACTGTCATGTGATATCCGAAACAAGCGTTTATGAATACATTTAGTTTACCAAGCAGAACAAGGAGATAGAGAAGACGGAATACATGATAATTTTTATACGCGGTAGAGCTACGCTGCAGGTATATTATGGTTGTAGTACTAATGAGTCGGCTCAACCAGGGTAGGGCCATGCTCTCACAGAATACCAGCGTAAAATAGCAGCTTGATGCTGCTGTATTTCGTATAGTAGTGAGTGTAGAGAACCGGAGCCCCTTTTTTACTGGAGACGAAGCATTCCATCTTAATCCTAAGGAGTGACAAAGTATCTGCATTGTGATTCTTAATTAAGGATCGATGTAGATGTCTATGGGCCACATCATCCACTTACCATCAGGTTGACTGTGTGCTCGTTTATCACCCTGCAGCAGTCGTCAGCCATAATTCCTACTAACGTCCTTTGAGTGCCACGTGCCTCTTGCCAAATTTGAGTGGATTTTAGAGGAAAAAAGTGTCTTTTGCGCTCCCTAAAAACGTGTTGGAGGGATCCACATGACTTTTAAATCATTTTTTTTAAATTTGGAACAAATGCAGGTTTCCTCAAGATTATTTCCTTCACTGCCGAGCAAGTGGTAAATTAGCTCTTAAAATTACAATTCCAATATTTCATTGGCGCCGGAAGGGATTGAAGCAAGATGGCTCCTGATAATTAATTGCGTAAATATAAATATAAGAAAAATTTGGTATATAGCGCTTGTAAATTAGACCACACGCTTTTCGTTTGGATCGAGCAATTTTAAGGAAAAGACCTCTCGTTAAGAAAATGGCCGACCACGTCATTTACGGTCTTATTAGGCGCTGAATTTTGTATATCACATTACCTAAAATTGGCCTAAGCGATATATTATCTTTAGTAGCACGAAATGGAGAAAGATTTTATTTTTTTATCCTTGACCCTTAAATAATTCATGTAGAACAAGAACTAGTCTAATATTTAGGTGAATAGTTTAAGCAAACAAAGCTACCATTTTGACCTATTATTGACGTAGACGTATATTGATGTAGACTTGCTAAAAGTGGAACCGTAGAAGCTCAGATGGTTAGCGCTCACTGTAAAGTCACATTACGCGAGCATCCCAGGTTCGATTCGGCACCAGTGAAATTGTTAATTGCAAGTTTGAGTGCTGATTTTACCACGTGATCGGCGGTAAAGGAAAACATCGTGAGGAAACCTATATGTCTAAGAAATAAAATATTTCGAAGACATGTGAAGTTCGCCGACATGCATTAGGGCATCGCGACGGACACTTCTTTGTCCTAAAACCCTCCGAGGAATGAGAGGAGTCCTGTGCCCAGTAGTGGGACGTATATAGGCTGAAACTTTGCTGAGAGTGTGTGTAGGTTCACTAGCATCGTAATTAATAGAATCATATGGGACCTATCACCACCTGACGCAGCCATTTGCTGTAAAATTAACAACAGATCGTTGCGAAACGCCCGCCTACCCTTCAACCATGCTACTAATCGCTGGCCACCGCACCGTGAGGGTGACAAACGACCACATTGCGATGTTATTTAGGAGCAGGCTTAAAGATGTTTAAGAGAGGTGAGTTAGCAACATTTGTTTTGTTCATTCAGCAAAGTCTACGTCTTTTTATTATCTCCAATTATTCGAGCATACACTGTCACAGCTATTTATTACAAGTATGTAAGACTTCAAAGGAGTGCTCATTGGCTAGGTTGTGTCTAGTGTCCAAAAGATCTTTAGCAAATTGTGATTTATCGGAATTGCAATTCCTGTACGAGGTTGGAAGCTCTTTATAACGTGTTACGAAGTTGCGACTAGTCTGACCCACGTAACTGGCGTGGCATTCGTCACAAACAAGTTTGTGAACACCACACTTTTGACGAATATCTAACTTATCTTTATAATTACATATATAGGATATTATTACGTGGTAGAGCCACGCTGCAGCTATTATGTAGCGTGAATGGGTCGGATCGACCGGGGAAGGACCACGCTCTCGCAGAGTACCAGAGTAAAATAGCGGCATAATGCTACTGTGTTTCGTATGGTGAGTGTAGAGAACCGGAGACTTGTTTTACTGGAAACGAGGCATTCCAGCTTAGTCCTCAAGGGTGACAACGTATCCGCATTTTGATTCTTAATCGAGGTTAAATATAGATGTCTATGGGCCACAGCATCCACTTACCATCAGGTGGACTGTGTGCTCGTTTGTCACACTAATCCTATTAAAAAAAAAGGAACATTCGTAAGATAATTGTTTGTTTTGAACGCAATTTTTACTAGCATTATCAAAATTTACTTTTCTTTTTTCGTTACAACCAACGAAAATTCCATTGCGTAACACAGGCCTCGCTCATTGCTTGACTTGAGAAAAATATTTGCCATAGTTACCGCGCTTGGCAGGTGAGTTGGCAACTGTAGTCCTTCATTATTTCAGGAAAATGCTGCTGTCCATCTCTTGTTTAATATTTCTGACACGCACATGATGATGGAGAGGGCTATGTTCGGGGTTTCTCTGCGTGATAAACTTAGAAATGAGGATATCAGTAGTAGTATAACTCTAGCGCTGAACAAAACTTGGAGAGAATAGCTGCGAACGACGTATCAGTACGGGTGACGGAATGCGGCTGGAGAGCCAATCAGCGCGTGCGAACGATACCCATAGCCTCATACGCAATAATGCGCAATACGGCCAATTATGTGCAATAACGGTCACCGCTAGACTTTCGTGCCGCGAGTTGTACCAGAGTGACCGACATAGCCCAACGGATTAGTAAGCTGAAATGTCAGTGGGCCGGCCATATAGCTCGAAGAACCGACAACCGATGGGGAAAAAAGGTTCTCGAATGGTAGCCTCGTACCGCTAGGCGAAGTGTAGGGCGACTTCCTACTAGACGGAGTTACGAAATAGTAAGACATGCAGGAACTCGATGGATGCACGTGGCTCAAGACCGTGCTTTGTAGAGTTCCTTGGCTTTCTAGAATTCCTGAGCTTGGGGGACGCCTATGTTCAGCTGTGGACTTGTGAAGGGCTGTAATGATGATGACATGATACTCTGCCAATTGACAGATAAGGTTCTGGTTACCGACTTAAGGCAGAATATCAACTTAAAAAACTCTCAACCAAAAACTCACAGACTGATTTTACACCAGTAACAATGTCATCAACAGTGTAATGTAGTAAACGCAAATTTTTGCCTTTCACGTTACTTGTTATAAACAGTGTAACGTAGTAAATTTAATTACTTGCCACTCACGCTGTTTGTCTTAAACAGTGTAATGAAGATAATGTAAAGTACTTTTCATTATTGCTATTTGTCAACTACAACTAACAGTGTAATATGATAAATCAAATATACTTGTCATTATCTATATTTCTCAGAAACAGTATAATTTAGTAAACTTATTGTACGACAACCAACAAATTATAAGTGGCCAGCAAAAAGACGCCTGCGGAACCCCAGGCCGAACAAGAATGTTTTAAAAATATACCTATGTTATTGTAATTATTTCATTTTAATCTTCAACTCATTTGTTTATTGTGTCATCGTATATACGTTTCTTTTGCATTTTTTACTTGTACTTTATAAATCAGTAGGAACTTTTATTAGGCTTCAGTACACTTTTTCGTTGTTAATAAATTTGTCTATATAATATTTTTTATATTGATTAAACTTACCAATATCATGAGTAGCAACAGCATCTTTCATGAGCCTGTACGTGTCTCCGTTGATTCTGAGGAAGTCAACGCAACCAAGGAGACCCTCAGACAGACTCAGCTTGTTTTGAAGTCCAGTGGTATTACCAGCGCCGCCGACCCAAACTGGTTCGCGGAATGTCATCCTTGAGAATAGACCCTGGGGACAAATATGAAACGATAACCTTTTAGATTTAAAGAATCATGTCCAGTCTTGACCTAAAAATTTTCTAACGCGTCTAGTGATGTAAAATATCTTATAAAATTGCATATTTTTTTCTTATTACGTATCGCATAATTGAATTTTCAAATAAAGCCAGGAAAGAAAGTAATGTTACTTTGTTTATCATTGTTAATAGACTTTTGCAGACGGAACGTGATGATTTCTTATATTTACGCGAACAATATACATGATTAAAACTACTTTTACGGATTTTATCGCGTTTATTTTTACTTTTTTATTTACTTTTATTTTTAATTCCCGACGTTTCAGGTGCTTTCCAGCACCCATGGTCTGAGGGGACTGAGATGACTGACGTCCCGATGTCATTGTTAAACCCGGAGTACCTTCAGCTTTTTTAATTATTGTTTATGGTCCGATCTATGCAAAATGAACTGACTATGTCCTGAGGTCTTGCAGTGGTATGCTTGGGTTTAGTTTTAATTTTATTGATTATAGGATCCCAAGCAGGTGGTAGTACCCAGCCTCCTTCTCTATTGAAATTAGGATGTTTTTTTAATTTCAATAGCCTCACGTATCATCCTTGGTAGGAATCGGTGTTCTTTCGCGAGGATTTGTGGTCTATCAAATCTGATGTAATGGTTGGGTCCGTCTAGGATATGATCACAAACTGCAGACTTCGCGGAACGTTGATGCTTCACATCAGCTATATGTTCTTTTACGCGGGTCCTAATTGATCTTTTTGTTTGTCCTATATAAGAGAGACCACATTCACAATCAAGCTTGTACACTCCTGCATCTTGTAGAGGAATATGACACTTGACGGATGGTAGGAACTGACTAATCTTCTTCGGCGGCTTGTAGAATGTTCTAATAGAAGCTCGCTTCAAGATATAGCCAATCTTGTCTGTGACACCTCTGACATATGGCAGTACAGCAGCCACAGTCGAGCGTGTGCCTCAGCCACCCAACCATTACATCAGATTTGATAGACCACAAATCCTCGCGAAAGAACACCGATTCCTACCAAGGATGATACGCGAGGCTATTGAAATTAAAAAAACATCCTAATTTCAATAGAGAAGGAGGCTGGGTACTACCATCTGCTTGGGATCCTATAATCAATAAAATTAAAATTAAACCCAAGCATACCACTGCAAGACCTTAGGACATACTCAGTTAATTTTGCATAGATCGGACCATAAACAATAATTAAAAAAGCTGAAGGTACTCCGGGTTTAACAATGACATCGGGACGTCAGTCATCTCAGTCCCCCGTGACCATGGGTGCTGGAAAGCACCTGAAACGTCGGGAATTAAAAATAAAAGTAAAAATAAACGCGATAAAATCCGTAAAAGTAGTTTTAATCAGACGGAACGTGTTTTACAATGGCTCAAAGGCCCAGAAGCCATTCCAAAATATATTAAAAACGTGTTTTAGACGCTCCGTTTCAGACTATGAAAAACTTTTTCATTCCTCATGTAATTTATGAACGTTCAAAATAACCAATTTATTTTTTTATAACTTATTAATTTATGATTAGATACCATTTTTAATAGTTTTATACTATGGAGTGGATAGAAAATTAGTGTACAGATCTTATCTGACAGCTGTTATAACCTCAAAATTTTATTTACTTAATAGCATTTTTCCCTGACCTCTAAATGAAAAGATGATAAGTTATTATGTTATTATAAACAATAATTGTTTTTATACAACAGTAGTTGTAGGTAGACGCGTCCGGTTAAAGGAATCAAGTGACAGGTCAATCAATGTATGGAAAGTGGGCATAATTCTTTCACTATTTAAAAAATGAAGTGAATGTTGCATAGTTAATTTCCTTTTTATCTTTCTACTATCAGTCGCTTTGCTTATAAATCAGGGCTCAATTTTTTCTGTTGAGCTTTTCTCTCAGAGATTAACAGTTATTTGTTATAGTGTTACCACTTTGCCTTACATCAAGGTCTTGTTTGGTCGTATTTAGTCTAACTTCAATGAAATAAGAGTAAAGAGATACAGTTTGTCACAAAAAAATAAAAAAGTCTTTCAAAAGCACTTTCAGAACAAACAACCGCCAAAAACTAACTGGTATTGTCTTTGCCTTATTACGATGAGGCATTACCGCGGTCACAGCGTGTCGAGCTCGCATTTTTATTCGGTATTACTGCATTTTTAAAAATACAATTAGTTCATGACGAACTAAGAATATATTACATGTGAAACTATATTTTGCAATCACATCGTTGGTGAACGGCAACGGAGCCAAAGCAAATTCAATAACACTTCTTTAAAAATAAAACGAAAATACATCTAGTCTCCCGCCCTATTTGCATTCGAATGTCGCTTTGACGCCACCTCACCGGTGATAGGCGAAGACTTCGCCGACTCGCTGGTCACGTCGTCAACCGAGTTTCTTTTGTCTAAATTTAAAATAATAATAATCCTATATTGCAGACACAGAGATCCATGTTTATACGACAAATTATTAATAATAATAATAATTTTTATTTTAATAAACTGTACAATTAATTTAAATAATGTCTTAATTTAAAATTGTTTACACAGCACATGAACTAGGATAATTGTAACCCTTATTCTATTTAAAAAAAGCCTGTATCTCAGGTGTATGTGTTAATATTAACAAATATTTTCTGTTTCTTACATAAGTATATAAAATGAATAATATACTAACGAATTAGGGTTATTTCGGTAAAATATATTATCATTATTTACTTATGATATTAATTAACTTAAAACAATCAGCAATTTTTCCGTATCATCGTATGACAAATTTTGTAACCATGATCGAATTACATTTTAACAATCTGCCATGTTTAATGGATACATATACAAAATTTCATCGACTTGATTATACAGAACAGGGGCAAAAATAACGTATAATACCTACATAAAACTGTTGAAGTGAAATTACATAAAATATTTCCAAAAGTCTTATTTTCAGCCAGCAATTTTCACCCAGCGTCAGTGACATTGGAGTCTGTATCTGCCTATCCGCCAAACTACTAATAATACTCGTAGCGTTGTTACACAGGTCAACTCTGGACATAAATAATGCTATCGTCTTTCGATGACTTGCATTAAAAGAGTCAACCCGGGTTTTCATGTACATTTGGCGGTGGAAGGAAAAGGGGAGATCTCCCGCCAGGCAAGGTGTTATGCCCGGGGAGCGGCCAACGCTCCGTGTGATAGTTCGGAGCTATTCTATATATACTGTTTTTGATTCGGAATTTTGATAGCGTGATTTAGGCTTCGGTGTGTTTCGCTTGCGGCGCGACGATAGCGCCGCCACATCCATTTCAGAAGCGCTACAATAGCGATTAGATGAAGAACAAGACCATCCTTTTCAACTATCGTGTGCCTTCTTGATATAGTCAATCCAGAGTTGACACATTTTGACAATATGAAAAGCTATCTAATAAGATTTTGACTTTGTAACCCACAATAAACAGAGCTCAGATTCTTTTATAATCGTTGTATGATATGCCATAATCAAATGAATTATATAATACTGAGTAAGTCGATGTTAGATAAAAAAATATCTGACAAAAATCGCATGAGCCACCCAGAAGAAACAATTTCTTTAAAGAGATACAAAGCTAACCAGTACCTATTCAGAGCTAAATTATATGAATGGAATTCGATCAATTTTTCTAGTCTATTACGTTGCTTTGAGAGCATTTAGGTAAATTAAATTGTCCGTAATAGGGGTACGCTGGTGCGTATTACAAGATATAGGCGATTTTTAAAACGTTCTTGGTAGAAAGCTTATGAAGATACTTTCAAGTAGGTTCGGCTTCCTACTTTGTGTCCATTTGAGACATACTCCGGCCGTTATTACCTGAGTTGTCGAGTCATAAACGTGATAGGCAATCGCAGTTTTTGATAATTTTTCTAGTTGTAGTGATTTATTATATTTACGCGAACACTACACTTCTAAAGAAAACTAGTAAACTTATTTTATATTCACGACGTTCCGAGCACTTTATAGCGCCCATGATCACGTGGGAGAGGAGGGGAATTGAGGTGTTCGACGTCCCAATGTTATTGTTAACCACTGCCACCTCCAGATGAAAGTTATAAATTTTTGTTCCGATCTACGCGGTATGAACTTATTGTATCTTGAAGTCTTGCGGTTGTATACTTGAGTTGGAATTTAATTTTATTAATTAGAAGATCCCAAGCAGATCATGCTTGAGTTGGAATTTTATTTTATTAATTATAAGATCCCAAGCAGATCATAGCACTCAGACATCTTCTCTATTGAAATGAAATGAATGATTTTTATTAAATATAAATTATTGTATAAGACTTATTGAAAGTAATTTTTTTAAGCTATTGCATAGCTTCTATCGCGGGCTTTGAGCGCGGGGACCGAATCCAGAAATTCCGTAACGAAAAAAAAACCTCACGCTCCCCACTCCGACGGGCACGGAGGTGTGGCGTTGAAAACCGTGCATCGTCTAACGTCGTTTCAGTTCGGCAGACTTCGGCACTCGGCAGAGTTCGGCACGGTGTTTGTGTGCGTGCGACTAGACGTATGCTTGTACACTAGCTGCTAACTCAATGATAAAAATTCCTGAATAACCTACATATATTGTAAGATATTAAAAATATTTTAAACAATATTAACTTCTCATTTATTCAATAAGACAAAAAAAAATGTTTTCTTATCGGTCACCACGCTCAAAAAGTGTAACTTGATTTAATATCAAAGACTTAACTGCATAAATAAAATAAATAAATAATTATAATTGCATAAGTTGATAAAAAATGCTATGCAATAGCTTTACCGCGGCAGTCACCGAGTGCCACACGATTTTTTATTTACCACTTTTTTACTTTTTTACACTACACACACAAAACCTCTGTCCTGGGAAGAAGCACTGCGAGGAACCCAGCGGGACTTTTTTTTTCAAATATATTTCAATTTACAATAAATTTATTTTGTACAATTTTC